TTAACGTGGCGTCCTTCCTCCACACTGTGGGACGATTCCTGTATGTTTGTTGGACGCATGCCGGTATCTACTTTGTCAGAACGCTGAAAAATCCATCATATCAGCATTTCTCGTGTCTTTATAGGTCTTCGCAGTGCAAACTTATTCATTAATATTGATAAATTGAACCTGCAGACTGATAACATGTAAAACTGCCAGAAATATTTCCAGAAACACAATAAAACACGAACCGCACCGATGAATTTATTGCATTACAAAGCCAAAAAGGTTGGATTACGTCAAGACTGGAAAGACAGACAAATATTGACACACGTCTGTTTGGCGAAATAGAACTAGGCTGGAAAAGTATATTTTTTCTTTTTTTCGTCTAGCAGTATAAAGCATCGTGGATTCAGAACACATATTGAATTATGAACACTAACTTGTGTACAGGGTATAACACTTTATAATTATACATTTTGTAAGGGTACATGTATATACTGTTAAAATATTTCATTCAATTTCCGAATTGTGAGATAGAATATGATTCTTTTCAATGAATGATCTTCAAAAATCTGGATTTTTTAAGATGTGAAATATTCATCCTTGCCGTTTTTTAAAATCAATTTTGAGAGTATGTGTCGTAAAGAATTGCATTTTGTAGGAGGATAATTTTATATGTCAAATTCGACCCAAGTATCGGAAATATTCATCCTTGTAGGTATAGACATTAAAACAGCCTTCGGTCGTGGTATTCGAGGGGTTGAGGTGGGGGGTGGGGGCAGCCTTCGGTTGTGGTATTCGAGGGGTTGAGGTGGGGGGAGGGGGAGGGGGGCAGTCTTCGGTCGTGGTATTCGAGGGGCTGAGGTGTGGAGGGGGGCAGCCTTCGGTCGTGGTATTCGAGGGGTTGAGGTGGGGGGCGGGGGGGAGGGGGGCAGCCTTCGGTCGTGGTATTCGAGGGGCTGAGGTGGGGAGGGGGGCAGCCTTCTGTCGTGGTATTCGAGGGGTTGAGGTGGTGGGGGGCTATATCAATGTATATCACGCTAACATTTTTATGTTATGTGATAGGTGCGATCTTTTCCACACTGGTAGGGATGAAGGCGTATCTGATGCTAACAAGATTGGGCATGCCAGTACTGGTCTACAGTCGTCATTTGAACATCGGCAGCATATCGTTTTCTCCTACAAAAGTGTACATTTCTCCACCATATCTACACAACCACCTGTCTTGGCATAAGATTGGCTGATGTGAGGGCATTCCATACATAATTTTTAAAAAGTGTGGAATGTGTTTCGAATCATTATGACCTGGCTATCTGTTGATAGGATACCGCAAAAGTTTAAGATATATATATGTTGTTTTATATTTTACATATTGACTACAAATTAATTAAAACTTAAAAACATATTAAGGAACTTTATTTCCTTGTAATATCTCGGTAAACAAACCTACTGGATAAAATAAATAAACACATGTTAATTAGTTCAGTAAGTTTTATTTACAAATATATACACATATATACATAAGATAGTTAATGAAGGAGCACCGATTGAAGGAAACCTATTAATGCCTTTATAGTAGGTACCACACTGACAGAAAACTTTAAGATAAAACTTAAATGATCAACAACATCCTTTCCAAAGACATTTTATTATATATCTTTCTACTTGTATGCAAATGTACTCCTCTATATTGTTTTATACTATAAATGTATAAGCACTATGAATAAGCCTACAATACAATAGAAATTATTATAAGTTAAACTCTCATTATAACTGTGTTTTTCACAGGCTATTAATAAATATTAACTGTATTTTCCACTTCAAAAATTACAGATACAGTGTTCTAAAACAGCAATATAAAAAAAAATTAAAAAAAGAATACATACAAAAATCTGTCATTTAATTTCATGTGATCAATTTAATATTAACCAACTTCAAAATCAAAGGGTTCTGTACGTGCCTCTTTCTAGATAAAACGAGTTCCGTCGCCACATCCTCTCACTAGATTACATACACCTTTGATCTCTTAGATAAACCCAAAAAAGGAATCACAAGTTGATAAGTCAGTGAAAAGTTGACTTTGCCATGACACTTTCCTGGTGTGCAAAGGTTATAGTAATGCCAGGATAAGAACCCTTTGATTTTGAGAAAAAAGTTTTGCTGCAATCCAAGTTAGATAAAACAACACATGTAGACAGGTATTTTAAAAAGAGAGAAGGTTTTGCAAAAAAGCAATCAAGCAGGTATTTCCAACTGGAAAAAAAAGAATCATAATTGCATCTGTATACTGGTCATCAATATTATTACATTGCTATAAATAGACATAACTGACATGAAAATAACAAAAACTGTGATAATATTATAGTACAAGGTGTCATGTTAACTACACAGAAAGGTACACTGACAATAGTACAGTACAATATTACAAGCTAAGCTTTTCCTGTTCTCCCTATAATGTATAGAAAAGCAATTCAATAAATAACATCTACATCAATCAAACTGAAGAACATATATACAGCTTATTTTGAGGACTACAAAATATACACAGCTACTTCTTATAAAGGAGAGTATTATACAGCTGTATTATTGAACATATTGGTGATTTTATATACTAAAAGACAAATTGTTGTAGTGACATTCTGTATTTTTTTGCGTTAGAGAACTTACCAGAAATTGTTTTTCGGTCACTGATAGGAAGTTAATTAAAAATTCAATTATCTGACACAAAATGGTACCTACAGTCTTGTTCATTACCCAGTACACTGGACAACAGGAAAGGGGGTCGGGTAACAGTACACTGGACAACAGGAAAGGGGGTTAGGTAACAGTACACTGGACAACAGGAAAGGGGGTCAGGTAATAGTTCACTGGACAACAGGAAAGGGGGTCTGGTAACAGTACACTGGACAACAGGAAAGGGGGTCGGTAACAGTACACTGGACATCAGGAAAGGGGGTTAAGTAACAGTACACTGGACAACAGGAAAGAGGGTTAGGTTACAGAACACTGGACAACAGGAAAGGGGGTCTGGTAACAGTACACTGGACAACAGGAAAGGGGGTCTGGTAACAGTACAATGGACAACAGGAAAGGGGTCGAGTAACAGTACACTGGACAACAGGAAAGGGGTTTGTATAAAGAAGAGTATGTACTATAAACATTCACAATACAGCTGTAAATTTATTTCAGGGCTGTAAGCATTGTACTAAAATATAATTGTGCATACTACAGTTTTTGATGTTATTGATATAACAATTATTGTGGATGTGTGAATCCATCCGTGCCTAATTAGTCAAAAAGTAAGAATGCACCAAATTAGATACTTTTACAGTATTCATCATTGGCAGCAAGTATGGAAACTTCAAAATCCAGCACTATGTCATTTTTAGCATTACTGTTGTTAAATAATATGTGAACAGACTATGGGCTAAACTTTACAATACAGTTATATGACAAATACTGATGAAGACAAAACTATTGAAAAGAAAAAAAGAAAAAAAATGTATACCAACTACTGGAGTTATATGGCCTCCAATCACAGCAATACACCAATGGTGTACTGAAGGGGAGGCATCGATGGTACCACATGTCGTAAACGTCACTATTTCTTTCATCATAAAACATTACAAGCAGAACATTACTGAACTTTCAATTTAGATGTTTACAATGACAGGCTATGTTTCTCTGGTGGAAAATGGTCCCTCTGAGAGCAACTTATAAACCCATGTTTCAATAATAGCTTTACTTACCTTTACATTGGAAGTGTGATATTCTTTTTATCTATTGTAAAGTGAATATCTTTAAATTTCACATTGCTTGATGTTATCTTCACTAATAAGTTTTCTTAAACCCCTTAACACATTGTAATAATATTTGAGATAAATCACTTAAAAAGACCTTGATCCTTTTCAAAATTAAAATTTCACAAAATTATGTTTTTAAAAAGTTAAATGACTTTTATTTTTTTAAAGTTCAATTGAGCTTAGGATATCAGAGAAAAAATACTGTGGTTAGTTCCAATGATTTCGGCTTAATTTCACAATAGGGACCGTACACTAAGTACACGTGTACCTGTTGTATTTATAATGATCAGTCCTTGATAATTTATGGGAAGGGGGTGGGAAACTTTTCATATAAAAGCTAATTAAGTTTTAATTTTTAAATTTCTATTTTTTCCAAGACTGAAAAAAGAAAAAAGTGTAAATTTCTACTACTTTCAGAGAAAACTATTAAAAGTCACATCTAGTTGTATATGACGTATTAAAGACATGATAGTAAAAAATAACATTTCATGATAACCTTTAAGTGATAAACTATATAGAAGACTTTGGCAAGGTTTTACAAAATTTCATAATTACAGCATAAATTCTTACATCAGAGCACTCCTCAAGAATAGCTTCTACTGTGCTTATATATTCAAACTCCATTTACATTCATATAAAAAATTATGCATTTTTTCACAGAGAAATAACAGGCAAGACATTCATAATTTAATAGGGCTTGGCAGGTTGACTTTTTGATTCAAAAGGACAAAATAAGCAAGATTCTCACCTCATAACTGTGAATCAATTAAAAATGAACACACATTGACAATTTTTGATTAAATATACTGAGAAAATGTCACTTTTACAATTTAGCAATCTGGTGTCAATGAAACCTACATTTTTTTTTTCTGTGACTTGAAACTAAATTAATAGAATTTGACACCATGAGAAAACAGCAAATTATCGAAGACAATGTAGTTATTTACTTCAATACACCATAATAATATGTTGGGTCTTGATACCAGACCTTTTCAAAAACATTCACAACTTTCTTGTTGTCTTTTTGAAAGACAAAACTCAATATTGTGTCAGTAGTTGGAAAGGAATATGAAGTATTCTGGGAAACATATTTTCAGAAGATAAATCAACATTAAAAAATGTGAAAATAAGTAAATCATCACACCCTACCTTTACAAAAAAAAATTTTAAAAACATTTTTTTGCGGGGGTGGGTGTGGTGGGGGAGGGGGTCGTTTAGATTTACAGTAAGGTGTTCATCAAATACAAAGGTTTTTTTATCTTAGTTCTTTTTCGGCAATGATTTTACCAGGAAACATTGTTTCAAAACTTCAAATCATAAATCTATTTTATAGATGTGAAATTGATATTGTATGTTTCTCAGTCACAGGGTCTGTGCATAAGGACTCTGGGGTCTGGACTAAATTGCAAGTTGAAGTGACAGGTTTTATAAATTAATATACGGATCATATTAATATTTACAATATTTACAATACATCAAAACAAAAAACAAAACAGATATACAATGCAGATAAACTGCAGATGATACAATATTGAAACACACAGTTCCCATTGGTCCAATGTTATACATTACAACTCTTCAAATCTGATGCAAGCATTAAAGGGACCAGGATGCAGAGATATGTGATGAGCCCAATACTAGTAAAAGTCTTAGACTAGACAAACTGAAGTATGAATCACTATTAACATAAATCACAGAGACACTTTTCAAATAATAATCACATAGTATTTACAATTTGACACCAATGATTATATGCAACTTAAAATTTTCGATACCACATTGTTGAAGATGGGAAAGTCCCTAAAGTTGTAGGCCTCATTTCACTATTTCAAGGATGAATGGTAACCTTTATTTTTTTTTTAATTCTAAAGTTATAAACACTCCACTGTTATATTACCATAACAGTGATAGAAAATTCAAAAGCGAATTGTTTGAAAATAAAAATGAAAAGCACAACACAAAAAAAAAAAAAATGTTGGAGAGACATGGAGTATCAACTGAATGTAAGTACCGTTAACATTTGTAGTTGTGTTTGTGTGCAATCTCTCTGCAATCATGTTATATAAAATTAGATTTATGAAACATAAAAAGCATAAATGACATAACTGTCACAACCTTATAACCACTTAGAATGAGATTTTCAACTGCACCAAAATGCAATATGATAAATCGTGCTGTTTGTATGTCATGATTCAATATTTATTTACAGAACTTAGGAACACATTATGTTGAAACTCCCTGATCTTGACAACAAGATGGCATCAGAGGTAAAGCTGAGGATGTTGCCCACTTATAATTTGGAAATAGGGTGGCAGCGAAGATACATATCCATGTAATCGAACAGAAATTATAGCTCTAAGCCTTTAAAATCACCAGGCGTCAAAAAATTGTTTATGTCCGTGTACATAATTACATAGATAACTGTAAACAACCAACATACATTATGTAGACCATAATTTACTTGTGTCCAACAGATGCAGAGAAATATCAGGAAATGTCTTCAAATTTTCTTGCATCAAAAAAATCAATATTTTGTAAGATAGTTAAATAGACAGTTTTATAACAAAACAACATTAGTAGTTGAGAGTATGGGGCGTAACTAATAAACATTTTTCAACAAACGGATTCAAAACAGCATTCTTGTGAAAGACATTTACATCATATCGTCATATTGCTAACGGGTACAAAATATGACTTCCTGAAAGACAAATTTTACCCTATTATATCTAACCTAAAAGCCTATTAGCTTTCATTTTACAAACTGCTTCCTTTTTCATTTAAAAAAAGTGGAAATTTCAAGAAAGTAACCATATCATGACTTTTGTAGCCATTTCTGTTTTAATCTTGTTTGTGACTCAATTATGATTTGTGCTGGAGTTGTCTCCCTTACAATACATCTCCACTACTTCATGTTACCTTTCATTGAAAAATATCAGGATTCTTAAAATGGAAATCTGGCAAAACAAAGGTGTGTACTAAAATTTAGGCACCATAACTCCTTAAATAGTTCATCTAAAGTGACAGAAAGTGCACAAATACTTCTTAAATATAACATACAAAAATTTATCACAACGTGTAAGTGTTATGTGTAATTTTTTTGGAAAAATCCACTTTGTAGTTTAAGAAGTTATATAATCATATCTCAGACTTGATAGTCATTTCTTTTCTGCTCATTTCAAAATCTTAGTAAATCCTTATTGCTTTTTGAAAGCATACAATTATTTAGAGAAGAGAAAATTTGTTTTGCCAACAAACTAGCCAATATCTGTTCATTTCTTGCTTGCATGATTAACATCATTTCACAACTCAACATCACTCATGGTTTTTCTGTCATTCGAGCTTCATGTATCAGCTTAAAAGCCTGAAATGAAAATGACTTAATGAGAGTGTATAAAAGCATTAAGATTCAGACATCTTTTAATTTGAAGATTGTAACATTGACTGATGAGAGGTATGGATTAATAATATAATGTGCTGTCCATTTTGTGACATTTTCAGAATATCATTTAAATTATGTTTAAAGGGACAATTTAGTCAACCAACGTTTTTTGAAGTCAAGTAGAATCGAAAATATACGTATCAAGACAATAAACTTTGTGTAATACAGCTATTTGCTTTGTAGCCAATGTCCAAATTTGGGAAAACCTGTACCAAATATAGCCAAAATTGTCATATTGCACAAAATGATGCACCCTCTGGAGGGAAACGAAGTTGTTTGTAAATAAATCCATGTGATGGAGGAACAGAGTGATGAATCTGTAATAAAAGTCTTTCTCTGCATTATGATTGGCCTGACCACATTGCATACAACATGTTGCATCTTTCATATTCTTGTTCAAAAGTGATTCTGGGAAATTTTTCACATCCATTTACTGCATCTCCGTTTGTTACGCAACCCTGTGCAGGGCTCTCGATCTGCCAGATTTGGGGCCGAATTCCCAATGCAAAACAGTACCTTTTTTTCCCAATTTAGACCCCAAGTTTTCCAAATTCTAAGGAAAACGTCACTATTTTTCCCAATTCTAAGGGCCCTGGGCCCCAGTCCCAAAATGGGGTGTGAGAGCCCTGCTGTGCCTCGTTTTACTCGCTTTCCCTTTGGTTTGCAAGCCATTTTTATTGACATTCCCGAGACGGGTTTGCACATGCCAATAAGGTCAAGGTGCCCTTGTATTAACATATACAGTGTTGGCTGAGAATTCCTTACCATTAATTAAAAAAAAATATATATGGAAAGTGTAATATTGAGCCAATATAATGACATGCATAGTTCATAGGAGTACAGAGCTACCATTCCATGGAAGATTTTTTGACATACACACAAACTTGACGAAACTGTCCCTGTAAATTCTGTGAGATTGTGAGACCAATATCATTATTCAATACATGATGACTTAGTCCAAAACCAAACATTAATGTATAATAGTCATTCAATGAACACTGAAGTACTAATGAACTAAATCCTGATGGCTTGTTTAAGAAAAAGCAACATTTTTGATAAGATTGGTAATAAACCTTAATTATACTGGAATCTAGTGTTCATTCATATTGTAATTTTTCATTGACCGCACATGCAATTTATTCAGCTTTACCAGAGTTACTTCCCTTCGTTTTATTAGTCTAGCAGAAGGCAGAATGAAGCCAGTAAATCTGCATTCAAAATATTAAATATTGTTTCTGATTTATTAAAAACAGAGGATGAAAATTACAGAAGAATGCGAGTATTCACAAGTTTTCTACAATTAAATCTCTATGAAGCACTAAAATCTAGTTCTTCATTCTTATAGTCTAAAACAGCACACTTTAAAACTTTTCATAAGGAAACCACAACTTCATTCACAACTAAATCATTTCTATCAACATAGCTGACATTTTTCACACCTTAACTTTCACAGTGAATTTACAACAATTGCTTAATATACTGCTAATGTTTTAGGTCTACTACACCAGGAAGTTTTTCAATGTTTGTACCAACAGAATATCCTTTCAAGAAGACCCTAAGTATGAAGGGACATAGTATATCAATTTACTTGTGCACACTAAAAGTCACTCTGATCCTTATATTTTCATAAAAAGATCAACAGTGAATTTTAAATTTGGAAGCTGACAAATAGAGAGAGAACTAAATTCAGTGACAATTTCTCACCTTTTGCATGGCTGCTATCCACATCTGTCCTTCTCGTTTGGTTGTGCTGGTTGGGCTGATGACAAGTTTCACCATATTTTTATCTGAATTGTGATTGTGGTATTTCATAGCGATGCCAGATGCCACCATATTCCCTGTAAGGAAGTTGGTAACGTCATTAAGTAAACAGTGTCCAGTTAAGCCATTAAATTTTGATATTGGTCAATATTCTATTTCACAGGGTAATACAATTTTCAATGCAAATTCTTTTGAACTATATTTTTACTACGATGATACCATCTTGGCGAGAATCATTTGATTTCAAACGGTCAATTTTAGTAACTGTATCTTATTTTTTTTCTCATTTTTTTTTTCACTCCATATATCAATACCAGACTAAACCTGAACAAGATATATTTTCTTCTAAAAATGGCACTAAAATGCAAAAGAGATTTTAGCTGAGTGTTGAAATATACATTCTACCAATATTCACTAGTAACAATGACCTGGTACTTATGAACCTGAAGATTGAAACCTAAACTGATATAAGAGATGATGTTTGAATATTTAGATGTTTTACATCATAACAAATGTATAAAAAAAAAGGGGAACATCTGTTGAACCACAACATCTAAATTCCATTTATAGTAATATCAATTGTGATCAAAGATCATTGAATGAAGATGTGACGATTTGATGAGAAATCAACTTTGAAGATTAATTACATAAAAAAAAGTTTATTCATAAATTAAATTGACCATAAATTTGACCCCAGTGGGTTGAAATATTATCTTTTTCAAGTGAGGATTATTTATCAACCTGGGGCTTATATATAACGATTGACAACCCAAAAAGATAGAAAATTCTGAGGAACAATGACAATGTGAGAGTAGATCTCTATATATACTGACAGTTAAAGCATTAGTATAAATGTTTGTATACTGTATCAGCTATCAATACAGTCAACAAAGAACATTGTATATATACACTCACATTTCCTAAACATATACATTGATTGTGATTCTAACTAAAGGCATAGAAGAAGAAATGTACTGAAATGAAATTATGACCTACAAAAAACATCTACAAACAAAAATAGAGAAAAAAAACATAAACTATAAAAAAATGAAGATCAAGGAATGGTTTACAACAATAATGAAGTGACAACAGTCATGACATAACAAATGTCAGAAACTAAAATAGTGATATTATGGGCAATTATTATCATTCTTACTTATTTATTTATTTATTTATTTATTTATTTAAAACTGTTACATGATTGTGTTTGTCTGTATAATGAAGTAAAATAATTGATTTTTTTTCAAACTAGGTACTTGGTAAATAAGAGATAAAATTCTTATGAAAATTGAATAATTCATCAGTTTAGATCTTGATAAAGAAGTTAACAAAACATTAAAATCAAAACACAAATGTGTACAGCTGGTGAACACTAACACACTTCCTTACCATCATCATCCAACCTCGGAAAGGCTTTGTATTGAAAAATCGATATTGCCAATGAAACATCAGAAAAGTAGTTAGGTAGTAACCAACGCCAATCGATAAGTGTAAGTTATTATCTCAATCATTTAATCACTGACAATTAATAGATATGAATGCCAATTAATACGTCTTAGTTTATACTGTGAACTTGAAAATACTGACTTTGATATTCAAATGATTAAATTTGATTGTTTATTTACGTAGTTGTATTCAAAACAAAGTAAATAATACTGACCTTCGGAGTCCACTCCACTGGTCAATATCTGGACAGATTCTAATTTTGCCATCTGTACTGGCTCATGTTTGTCATGATTACTGTCAAATGTGACAGTTCTGGAGAAAAAAATCATTATGTACAATTTTTCTATGAATATAGGACATGTTAATTAGGGAATCTATAATCAGCTAATCACAGTAAGAGCATCACATGTCAGTGTCTTAATGAACTTTCACATAAAAGAGAGCTCTTAGTTTGTCACGTTCCCATATTATGGAAAACACTTTCAGAACTTCAGAAATGCATTTTTGAAAGTGAAGAATGCTATTTGATTCATCTATTACAAAAAATGTTTATGTAGCATTTGAAATATTTGATGCTGTAATTAGTCAAATATCATATTCCATAAATCAATGATGTTGTTCTTCAATTAAAACATCAATAAATAATACATCTACACACAGTAATTTTGTTTTCTTTTTTTCTCATCATAAAGATAGAAAACAAGGTGAGCAGGAGCTCACATCAATATACTTCTCACTTCCTCAGCTTTTTTTCTGATCTAAATCTATTGAGGGCTTAATGTATTAATCAATTAAATGGTTCATGAGATATGCAAGTTTTTTCCCCAACATAGAATAACAGTGACTTCTGACCTTTAACCTTGGGTGGGTTATAATAAGGTGTATTTTACATGCATGTTAGTCAATAATACTATTTCTATAGATTTTATACACAAATTTTAAGTTAATTGAAGAAATAGTTCAAGTTAAGTTTTTCTGTCATGCACTTAATATATCATTTAAATATCTATATAAAAATTAACTGGATTGTCTGAAAAAACAGTCTAACCCTGCAGTTTATATAGGAGAAACACAAGGAACATCATTCTCTCATTAATGTAGGCCTGTTTTATTTATTCCTACCTGTTGTCTGTAGTTAATTTACAACGGAATGTTGAACAGCTATCCTCGATCTCTTCTCCAGACTCTTTTAACACAAAGTCACCACCTTGAAATACAGGTACATGAATGTGTTATTCTTCAACCAGATAGAAGCACAACACATTGTGTATATGTTTATACAATAAAAATAAATAAAAACAAACAAAACAAAAAAAAAAAATAAACCATGAAAGTTTTTCCTTTTTTCACTGTACAAACTGCAGCATCTGCTTCCTATACTTGGTGAGCAAAACTGACCCATGTTTAATCATTAACAGTTAAAACATCATTCCATCAACTAGAATACATGTATAGTCTGATCTATTTTACCAGTCAAAACAGTATTCTTACAAAGTCTTACAATCAATAGATTTGACACATTCACAACAATTCAACACCTCAGAAATCTTGAAGGTGACTTGTTTCAATGAGTAAATCTTTATTTGTCCTTTTGTTTTACATAATAGAACATTTTCCAAACACTGCATTTGATCACAGAATTAAACAAAATTTCTGTAACTTCAATTATTTGAAAGTATTTGATATATTCTGCTTTACAAGAACACCGTCTTAGTTTTACAAGAAAGTTGTCTTACCATTACACAGAGTTTTCAAATGTTTATCGAAGAATTCATTTTCTTTTCGGCTAATCTCTACACAAACATTGCACTGACGGACTGGGTCTATGAAACACATGCGGATCAGAGGCACTTTGGACTCACAACAGGAGTTACAGAAACATCGTCCACACCTTCGACAGTGATGCTGTAATAAAGATTATTGACGATGAGAAAAGCTACGAAAGTAGCAAGTTTTATGTTACATACTTATAGTTAAACTGATTCTCTTCTTACAGTGTATGTATTACCTATCAGCACAGTACTTTTGGAAAAGGGCCTGCCAGAACAAAAATCTCCAAAATTATGGCATTAAGATCACTTTCTTCTAAAGATCTATGTTTGAATTTCATGACTTGTGTATTATATATTCACCAACACCTATACAAGTTATGAATTGAATTCTTTAAATATTTGTCACCTGAGTTATGAAATATTTCAGTAAATTTGACCAATGTTGGCCCCACCCACCTATCCCTGTAAATATGTGATTACTATTGCTTGCAAAAACACCAGGGGACTGAGGATACTTCAGTAAAGATCGTGATGTGGGCGTGGGACAACTCCGGTGCAGAGCACAGCTACAACTGGTAAGACGCAGAAGAAACCAAGCCAGGAAAAACATCACTTTACTAGAAGTCTCCCTGAGTCTAACTCACCCCTTGACACAGTTTTGGAATTGGCTGAGGTATTTGGTCTCCGGTAAAGTCCATCCAGTAAAGCAAAGGGGAGAATTTCATTGCTTTGATGAAGGTGTGAGCACTATCTTAGAGACAACACTACAGGAAAAGGTCGAGAAGAAGGCCGAGTCAATGTCAAACCTTATCTACAATTTGGGAACGGAACCGTTTGAAATGTTGGGTAAAGCCAGGAAAGGAACCAACAAACCATCAAGAGTTCCCAACAGACAAGAGATGAAAATTTGGCAATGTCGCCATGAGTTGAAAAAACTGAATACGCAGTTTAGGAGGGTGTCTGAGAACAAGAAGTTTGGATTATCTGTGCTGACAGATGATATTTACATCAGAGCTAGCAAGATTACAAAGGGCTGAGAGACTTTGAAAGACAAAGGCAAAGAGGAAAAAGAGCAAGAGGATATTTGTAAAAGGCCACTTCAAATTTACAAAGGAGCTACTTAGTAAAGAAAAATCAGGAATCCTACATTGCTAGAAAGAGGAAGTGGAGAGTCACTTGTGGGAAACACATTCTGATCCACGGCGTGAAGAACCATTAGGCAAATGCCCAAGATAAATGGAGGTAGAAAACACAAACAGTCCCAAGAAGTGTAAAAGAACCAGGTTGCAATAATACTCTTTAACTGTCAAATATGAATTGGTCACTTGTGTTCCATTTTGTTTTTCTGATCAGTTCCAAAATTGACAAACCTAAAGCATAAATTGGGTAAGTGACCAAGTGAAACCTAAAAACAAGATTTAGGAATGATCTGCCATTAGCCATTTGTTTATCGGCCCCAAAATTAACATTACAATTCCCTAAGAACACTTACAAATGAAAGTTGAGAAAGATCCGATCAGAATTTCCTAACAAACAGTGATTAGAAATTTAACCCATGGTCATTCAGTACTTGACTTGAAATTTGAGAGAGATCCATCCTGTGCTTCTCCAGAATTAGTGACAATGTAACAAACTTTCATAGTTAAAATCCAAGATGGTCCCCATCAGCCATGTTGTTTTGATCAGTCCCTTTATATTAAAAGGGCACAACTTGAAACAAGGGCATTATTAAAATTTCTGGTTCTCCTCATAAAATATCCAATATTAGAACTGCCTAGGGACAGATGACCGACAGAGAGACAGAAAAATGATGGCCATGGATGTAGAATGATTTCACCAGCCCATCATCTGACGAAGGTGGACTAAATTGAAAATTTTGAATTCTGCCATTTATTGTTAAAACTGATGTAATCCAATAAATCATCAATACATATATTTGCACAACAATTTTAAGCAAGAAAAGATTATCAATGCATCCAAGTACTGTTGTAATGCATATTATTTTATTTTCTAATCTTGTTTTACAAAACAAACATAATTTATAGTTATCAATTTTCATTTAGAAATGCACTCACCCTTCTCCTGCGGAAATCAAACTTGACTCTGCATGACGAGTTCATACATACCAAACACTAGAGAAAAACAGAAAAGATCATATGTACATAAATACAGGTTTTAAAATTGAGTTACAATATAATCTTAAGCTATTATATTTATATGGAAGGGGACCAAGGAAAGAGAAATGTTTTATCCTCACTAGGGATCACGTTAATGACCTTTTGCTCTCAATGCTGGCACATTCTACTGCTTAAATGAAGGGGAATTACCACCAGCAGACTATAATCTTACATGAAATCATCTGTACTCTCAACTTCTACACTCCTTCACTAGTCTTTGCCATTGAAGACATCACAATTTGACAGCTCCAAGTAAATATTTTACAACTTGAAGACAGGCAAGGAAGAAGAAAACAAAAGACTTGAAACAGAAGAGAAAGAAAGATACCTGTGTTTTTTTTATTCTGGGGCTCCGTATGGCAGAATATGGGGCCCATTCTCAACTGGATTTATTTCATTATATGACCAAATTTCTACTTTACTAATTAAAATTTAATCCCCAACTGATTAATTGTCTTCCCAAAATGAAATTAAAGGTCAGACTGGAAACTGATGTGCATTAGTTATTTATATAAGAAGGAATGCTATTTCTTTCAACGAATATATCCAGTCTCTCTGTAAGAGGAAACTGCTTAAACCCCACATCTGTTAATGGAATTGAACCCCGGACGGCTAGGTAAAAGACGAGTGTGTTACCACTTCGCCATCCGACCACCACCTGATGAAAGAAGAATGTTTGTTACCACAGCGCCACCCGCCAACCACTTAATGATGATGAGGTAATGGTGTCAAGAAGACGATGATGACAGTGTAACACAATAGTATATGTTGATGTGTTGCTGTGTGTTTTGTTCAAATCAGTGATAGTTGGTACACATTATGTGTAATGAACTTTCCTCGCAGGATGATGAGGATCATGAAAAAAACTTTATTCTAAATCGGTCACTTATTGATGCTGATATACACTAAAACACTATGGACATAACACGAAATGATACCTCACTGTCCGGTACCCAGGGTGGTTCACTAACTGTAAATGGACTGATGTCCATGTTGTTTACAGGAATCATCCGCAATCCACTCTTGGAGCGAACTAACTTCTTCTCAGGGGCGGACATATTTGTTTGGGTGTAAGCCAGTTGTAGGAGCATTCGAGTGACAACAAATACCACTTCCGGTTTACCGGTGTGTTCGAATAGCAAAATTCCATTTATTGAGCGGGTCGACTGAGCTCAACTGGTTGTCTGCTGAAATGCCAAAAGGTCGTATTATTGGACGTAAAACCCAATAAAAAGATGAAAATAAATAAGTTTTCTGCCAAGTGAGTTTGTAGCATGGCACGGCGACTGTAATCTATCAATCAATCCCCTCGTCATCCACCCGTCCGTCTTTTTTTTCTTCAAATCACTACTACATGTATTTAGCAAAATCTTTAAAATCCTCCAGGACAGCGCCTTGTTTTAAGTTGGTGAGCGATATATTGTTTCCATATACAACATTTACATATGGACCACAAACTTTAAACTTTCTGAATTTTACTCATTAATTCTATACCCAAGTCTTCTTCTGTTGAACCGGCACAAACATACACTTTTATTGTATAAACACATGAGTCATATAAATTATGTTGTTTTAATTCAAACGATCATGTAGATAAATTTTAAACCGTTAACAAAAAGACATTCTGTATGACCGTCAGAACTGCTTTCGCAAAGGCAAAATTACAACGGATATATACTGACTGGATGTCACGTAAAATGAAAAGACTGTAATAAGTTTGTGCATACGTGGATAAAAAAGCCGTATGGTCACTTTTATCGACAAATCATGATTTCCCTTTAACTTTTTTTTTCGGCAAGGCGAAAGATTACAGTGTGCCGTGAAAATATTTCCATATATTAATACGTGAGATGCTGGGTAAGGCTGGTTTTGAACGCACTTGTCTGATGTTACGAACGGTGTAAGACAGGAATGCTTGTTATCTCCCTTGTTTTTCAATGTATTTATCTGTTCAGTTTTATATGTAGTTGATTTGGTACTTTTGGCAGAATGTGCTGAAGATTTGCAAATATTGCTAGAGCTTTAGGACGTCTTTGAAAAGTTTAATGTAACTTCAAGGGAAACAAATTGTCACTGAGGCTAATTTTAATAATGTGCGTGAGTGGCAATCACAGCTAAACAACAGTTTATCACATCACATGCTTGGAGGGGAAGAAATTGTGTACCTATAGTCAATTTAAGGTTAATTATGGATAAAAAAGTATGTCTGCCAAATTCTGTCAAAAACACGCATCGTTGTGTTTTTTGGGCCAAATTTCTTTTTGGAGTTACTTCCCTTAGATTAGAAGCCTGTCGGCATGAACGGCGTTCGAAGAGGAGCACTCATGCTTCAGTTGTTTGTCGATAATTGAAGATGGACAATGTTTATTACAATATGATCTATAGAATGATTTAAAACCATAAATGTTTTGTGAAAGCCTTTGAAATATCTCCAAATTTCATGGATTAGTACTAGTTTTAAATGGCGATTTCTGAGCGAAAACATCGTGCAAAATCCTAATTTATTTAACAAAGAAGACATGTTTATGAACGAGAGCACTGGGCAATAGATGATAAAATAAGCTGAATTTATTTTTTTGTGATAAGATTCTCTATCATATCTCGTAACTCTATTCGGAGCGGTAGTATTTACTTTAATAGACAAACATGTATTTTATTTTGTTGTAAATTTGTATACACTTCATGGTAATATATAAATAGCATATTTGACTTTGACCTGAGGAGGTTTCAAAAGGAGCAAGGAATCTTTTTGTAATATTCAATACTGGACTTTGTAATATGTTTAAAAAAGAAAAGATAAAAAAGGCAACGCCAATGAATTTCGTCCTTAAGATATAACCAACTTTATCAAACAATATAAAACTTGCAATAATACATTGAATCACATATGCCGGAATCAATGGAAAAAAAGAAACTAGTAAGATATTCCGGCATTGTGACGATACTTTAGCTTACTCAAGACATCTAAACGACATTACACAAAAACATAAATTAGTTAACAAACATATAGAGAAAAGTGTTTGATAAATTGTTTAGCACGTCCCAGGGAACCACATACATCAAGACGGTTGGGGAGCTGGTCAAAAGAATAGTGACAAGTTGGGCTGGAAAAAACCACTATAAGGATATTCAAACAATGTGTTAGAATCATTTTACTAATCCGCCTTTACCTATTCCACATCAACTTTCGTTTAATTATTAATATGTTTTCTACCACAGTACACGATCATTGTATCAACTATTAAAGGGAGACAGTTGCCATCACAATTGCCGATATACATCTCCTAAGACATATTCAGATTTTGTTTTGTTTTAATGTTCAAAGAGGGGTATTTTATAATTATTGCTTCTGATACAGAACAAAAACAACAAAATGAGTGATTTTTTCATCTTGTAAAGTAAAAGTCCGTTTATTGTTTTGCTTTTATCAGAAAGAGTTTTCAGTCTTGTTTCCAAATATAACGAATTTCTTAGTATGAGGAAGTCTAGTAATGATCCCCAAAAACGATTGAAGTCATGATCATTGCATCTATCTCATATTTCACCACTATGTTGTGACCCTGTGACAGTAGTATTTGTAACTCTAACCCTGTGACAGTAGTATTTGTAACTATGACCCTGTGACAGTAGTATTTGTAGCTCTGACCCTGTGACAGTAGTATTTGTAAATCTGGCCCCGTGACAGTAGTATTTGTTACTCTGACCCTGTGACAGTAGTATTTGTAACTCTGACACTGTGACAGTAGTATTTGTAACTCTGACCCTGTGACAGTAGTATTTGTTACTCTGACCCTGTGACAGTAGTATTTGTAACTCTGACACTGTGACAGTGGTATTTTATACTCTGACCCTGTGACAGTAGTATTTGTAACTCTGACACTGTGACAGTGGTATTTTATACTCTGACCCTGTGACAGTAGTATTTGTAATTCTGACCCTAGTATTTGTAACTCTGACCCTGTGACAGTGGTATTTTATACTCTGACCCTGTGACAGTAGTATTTGTAACTCTGACCCTGTGACAGTAGTATTTGTAAATCTGGCCCCGTGACAGTAGTATTTGTTACTCTGACCCTGTGACAGTAGTATTTGTAACTCTGACACTGTGACAGTAGTATTTGTAACTCTGACCCTGTGACAGTAGTATTTGTTACTCTGACCCTGTGACAGTAGTATTTGTAACTCTGACACTGTGACAGTGGTATTTTATACTCTGACCCTGTGACAGTAGTATTTGTAACTCTGACACTGTGACAGTGGTATTTTATACTCTGACCCTGTGACAGTAGTATTTGTAATTCTGACCCTAGTATTTGTAACTCTGACCCTGTGACAGTGGTATTTTATACTCTGACCCTGTGACAGTAGTATTTGTAACTCTGACCCTGTGACAGTAGTATTTGTAACTCTGACCCTGTGACAATAGTATTTGTAACTCTGACCCTGTGGCAGTAGTATTTGTAATTCTGACCCTAGTATTTGTAACTCTGACCCTGTGACAGTAGTATCTGTAACTCTGACCCTGTGACAGTATTATTTGTAACTCTGACCCTGTGACAGTAGTATTTGTAACTCTGACCCTGTGACAGTAGTATTTGTAACTATGACCCTGTGACAGTATTATTTGTAACTCTGACCCTGTGACAGTGGTATTTGATACTCTGACCCTGTGACAGTAGTATTTGTAACTCTGACCCTGTGACAGTAGTATTTGTAATTCTGACCCTAGTATTTGTAACTCTGACCCTGTGACAGTAGTATTTGTAACTCTGACCCTGTGACAGTAGTATTTGTAACTCTGACCCTGTGACAGTAGTATTTGTAACTCTGACCCTGTGACAGTAGTATTTGTAACTCTGACCCTGTGACAGTAGTATTTGTAACTCTGACCCTGTGACAGTAGTATTTGTAACTCTGACCCTGTGACAGTAGATATGACCCTGCTACATGCACAAATGGGTATGAGGTTTTCAAAATCGTCTTTTACGATACATGTAAATTGGGAAAACAATCTGTTGTTACTGAATTTCCAAATTGTGAATTTCAGGATATATATGTTTGCAAGAAGGCAAATGAACGTTTGAAATCTTGTTCATAGATGGGAATGTCAAAACATGCGTTGATAATGTAACATTTAGGTGTACTTTGATATTTATCCCAAAATGGATGCAGATGTGTCCAATATCGGTACAAAAAGTCTCAAAATAGCTTTAAGTATGCAAGGGAAGATTTTAATTTTCAAATTATGAATCTTGTCAATTTTTTAAATACTGTCTCTTGGCTTGAGAGTTTTGTTCTTTGATATCGGCTAGGAAGAAAATGGAGAAAAAATCAGAAAAGGGCAATACATTTTATCGAAAATTAATTTTATATCTTCTGTGAATGATGTTTTAATTGTGATTTTAATTCACGCATCCGTAGAATCAGGAATATGGCTGTTAAAGTTTTCAAAATATGGCTCTTGAAAATATCTGTAATTTATTCAAGTTAAAACTGTTTATAATTTTCGGGAACATGAATACTCTTGAGGCAACGCGGGCCAAAACTACATGATATGGATAAAAAAATCTCTCAGATTTGAGGGCGTGGAAAAGATTACCTTACTATCCTAGGAATTACGACTCTTATTCCGTTTTTCGCAGACTGTCGCACAGCAGTCCTGTCTGCGCAGACGCAGTCTCTTGGTGTTTGCCTCAGTGGCGGACTCGCTATCTTACTCCTGCCTACACATGTTATTGTTTTGTGTTGAATTATTTGTGACGTATGATGTGATACCTTTGTTTATAGATGGCCTTGATTCCTTACATGTACGCTAGTCTTAATGTACATGTATTAGGTATCGTGCTCCGATTGTCTGCGGTTATGTTCCATAGCGCTACTATTTATATCAAACTGTGATTGATCTTTATTTCTTTATGTTCAGCTTCCTTAACCGTACACGTACTTGACGTCATTCTAACATAATTAGATACATTTTGTATGTATCACGATCAGTCACGATTTTTAAAAAAAATTATGGGGTAAGTGTACCTCCCGATCTAGATTTTGACTTTTCTTT